ACATCTGGGGTCCTATAAATGACCATTTCTTGAATTTGATGAAAAGCAGACATTTCAAGAACAGCGGATAAGTGAGCAAACGGAATCTGAGCTGCAAGTGCAAGAGGCCTTTCACCTGCTCTGGTCTAGCAAGTTTTGGCATCGGATCCGTCACCATTTATTGCTGTAATCCGAAAATATATTAACAACAACAGTCGCTTCGGCAATATCGCTTTAGGATATGAAAGTGTGCCTAAGAAATTAATTCAGAAAACATTAGCATTATTACATTGCGGCAAGCTTTAATTTGTTGAAATAGATGTTCAAAATTCAAGCTAAGAATCTCTCGTGAAAAGTATTTGTTTTGCGAGGACAAAAAATCGTCCTCCAAGTAAAAACTTTTCAGTACCTCTGCTTTACTTGTCACTTTCATAGATAAATACATAACAGCAAGTTCAAAGATAAAAAAGTACTTCTTATCACTCATTCCAGGAATTTTTGCCAATAAATGTTGAAATATCAGTTGTTGCGTACGAAAATCAAGGCTAGAAGATTTCCTTGCTCATAAATTGAACCAAAGGTAAAAAAATAATGATGCATCATTTGTTCATTTCATTGTAAAGCGGTTATTCAACAGTAAAAAGAGCACAATAGCCCAATAGTTCTTTGTGAAATTGTGATGCATCGTAAATGTTATCATAAAAATCTGAGTACTTATCAAGTATGTAATAATGTAGAGGTATTTAATTTCAAGATTATTACATTTTTAGGCAATCACACAGCATAAAGCGAAAACAAAGATTCTCCCAAGCCTTTAGCTAAACTCATATATGAGTAGATTATTTTTTGCTAGCTCTCTGTTAGCTAAAAGACATAAGGATCAACTAGTTTATTATTACAATCACTAAGCTATAACGTTATCCTCTTAAGAAAATACTTGAGGCAAAACACATTCCAAAAAGTGTTCAGAAAGTAGTCTGCCTACTTTTCTTAAAAGAAAATATCGTTTAATGAGACAAGTCTTCATTTGCTGGTTTTTTTTTTTCGAAAAACACTTGTCAAACTGGAAACTCCACATAGTTGTATGTGAGAAAATGCAAATGGGAAGAGAATGACTCCCAAACAAGGTGTCTAGGTCCTAATAGAGACGGTGAAAGTGATTTGTCCTTATTACTGACTGAACTAGAACATTTCAGTATCATATGATTATTTGTCATAATGATTCGTCAATTTTTCAATGTGAAAAAATCTATTCTTCTCGAGGCATTGAGTGGCATATGTTAGGTATGTCTACACAGCGCTTGCTCAACTTACGCACTATAAGCCACTGTTCGTAAATTTTATCAAAGTGGACAAAAATGTCTCATATTGTACGGAATTGTTTGCTGAGAAGATGGGATGCTCTCGATTGAAGGAAAATAGATGACATTCTTTATCTTTTTCCAGGGGATACTTTATCCGTTAGCAGCATCACTATAGGAAAGGAATTTGGTGCCTCAAGAAAAAGAGTATAAACAGGATGTTTATGTTTAGACTAATTTTGGGTGTATGCCAAGATGAACGATAGCTGGAAAAAGCATAATGTTCTCTTGCCAATATACCGCGCATAAAGTCTTATTTTTCAAAGCGATATGCTCTTCACTGGCTTGAACATGGTATCGTACGCTAAGAATTGGGGCATACCGAGCTTCCTGCGTTCTTCTACATTTGTAAGTATCATCATAGCGTAAATAAAGAATTTGAAAATATTTGACCTACCCATATGGCTAGCACAAGCTGTCATTCATGTTAGCTGCCCCCCACCAATTTTGAGTGCTTTAAAAAAATAGAAAAAAACAACTTTTCAAGGTTTCGGACGTTGTCTTCTTCCCAAGTACATTCAACCCAAACTCTATATTTATGCTCCTGAAAAAATGACGTAGAGATGGAATTTATTTATTGCCTTGTAAAAATAAAGTGATTTACTTTGAAAATTTGATGTCTTATTTACACAAGATTTGCTGGTCGAACACAATTATGTTCTTACAACGCTATCGGAAGCTTTTATATGAGAAGTCGACAAGCTGCTTTTTACAACTTAACCTTCAAAAACATAGTGGGGCTTCACGACAGGTAGTCAGTAGTAGACATTTTGTGATTTTTTTATCCATAAAAATTATCGTTCCAGTTTTAGTTGCAATTAGTTGGACATCTTCACTTAAACTCCTCCTTCTTATTCTTTCTCTCTTTCTTCCTCTTTATTCTTCTGAACAACAATTTATTTCCACCGGAGGGCATGACTCTTTGTCAACATCAGGTTATTGTCATCAAGAGCAGGTTTACAACTGGCTGGCAATAAAACCTCAAGAACCAGTAAATTTGAAAGATGACTTGCAGATTGTTGCTTCAATTTGTTCAATATAATTTTTTCAAGTTTACCACTTCCTTTCATGGTTATTCAAATCGATAGGAGAAAATTTGTCGCTGGAGTTATGTGATGTGAATATAGAGTTTTTCAGACAGTTTGCAGTGTTTATCAAAGGGCGCGATCGCTATGTCGTGAAGCTGTCAAATCGTTGCAAAACGTTCAATGGACATTCGACATCTGGCTGAAAAGCATCGATGCAGTTTCTATTTTGAGGACTTGAAGCTGGAAAGCTATTTCGAGAAGAATTGGATCACATTTTTCGCCTCTTAATGTCTTTCTTCATAATGTTCGATGAAGCTGAGGCATTGTGAATTACGTGATCATATTAGGTTGAACCAAAAGTTCTGTCGCTTGAATTCTGAAAAATTCCTAACTGTCAATATATGAACATATTTGCCTGTAAAACATTTCAGCAGGAAGAAATATTCATCTATTTACATCTATTTACTAATAACACCTTCGAGGCTCTTTGACGACAAGGTACTCTAGAGATAAACATTTGAATAGGAATAATATATAGCATTGCATTGATTAGATGAATTTTTCTTTCTGAGGAAATTTGTTGCAAGCGAATACGTTCGCTTTGGGAGCAATTACGTATTTTTTCATAATCAAAGCGACAGACCTCTTGCTTCAACCTAACATAATCAATGTATTAGGCGAAAGCACTTGAGAAACCACTCAAACTGGTGAAGAGAAAGGAAAATTATATAAACACACTTCGGAAAAACTGATTAGACGATTCAGAAATGCTTGGGCACTTTTGAGCTCAATTTTTTTTGAGCAATATTCGATCAAGAAGATATGCATATCGAATGTTGCTCAAATCACAATTGTGCAATACCTCTAAATTTATTTCATAACTTCTCAGTGCCTCAAGGAAATTATTTGCAAAGGAATTCAAGTCAGATTGAAAAAAAAGAATTTCAGAGTTTGATGTGAAACTGGTTGCAGTTAAGTAAAGATAAATAAATGGGTAGCATGGTTCTGTTGACTTTTGTAAAAAAATCAGAAATATCAAGCTGGAAGGCCAAAGTTCAAAATTTACGCAGTTATGAGGCATTGACCAAGAAATTCGACGATTAAGTTGGCCTTTAAAAATTGTTCATAGTCGCAGTAGTTTTGCTTTCATTGAATTTCGTACATTTATAATGGCTAAACGACAAAGTCGAGTGGAGACTTTATGGCTACAAATTGCTTCTATAGAAGGCTCGGATTGACTACCTATAACGCATTTGAATTTATCCGAATTCAGAAAATTCTGGATTCCCTTTAAGCTGGCAGATTCACTATCTAGTCATGTTTTGCAAATATTTGCAGAAAGTACATATGAACACTAAAAATGCCCTAACGCAAATCACGGAGATGTTTCAAACAAATGAGGGAAACCTGTTATGGACAAATGGGGTGGAGGGAAGAGGACTAATCAAATAAACGGTTGTCCAAGTACATAGTTTCTGGTTGAATCTAGTCATAAAATATTTGGTACGCCCTAAGAGTTTATCTTACTCACTTATTCAAAAAAACAAAGGTTGAGGCAAACTGAAGGGTGAATGTGAATAGGAGAGTTTCTTATTGCCAGGTGGACACCAAATAACAAATATTTGTTGTTTTTTAACTTTCTATAAGTACTCAGAATTCCGGAGCTAAATTAAATAGAGAATAGGGCGTTTAGTCTTAATATCTCTAGTTTTGAAAGCAAAACACGAAACGTCAAAAACTTATAAATGTAATTAGCTGCAAATTCGTAGATATTTCGATCGCTTCTTCACCAAAAGTCCTAAAACCTAACAAGTTGTAACTTCAGACAGCTACAAAGCCAGAAAACTTAGTCTGATATTTTTGAAAAATTCTATAGCTCCCAATTGGGCTGTTGTACCATCCCCTTCCTCACGCTGGAAAGCTAATAGAAAAAGAAAATGGAAAAAGTAGAGAAATTAAACAGAAGAAGGCCGAAAACTCCTTATCGAAAATGCAAAAAATTGCATGAAAATATGATAGGATAAGTGACAATAATAAAAATACAATTAGAAGTTTTTTACCCTTGGTAGTCCCATCATATCAATGACATCGAAGGTGATATGTTCCAAAAGCAATGATTACCCATTGTCCTCGTAACACCTGACCTAATTTTTTCCCCAAAGCCATTCACGTGCGCTAAGAAACATTCGTTCTCACCTACATCACACTTCCCTAGCCTCATTGTTGTTCCTGCCTTGTTAAAGAGGAGGGGGGGGGGGTAATAAAAGAGGGGTGTTGGGGTGGGGGGCGTGGCGCGGGGGACTCTTTCCCCCGCGATCCCACGGCGCTTGCGTCCCGTCGTGCGATGTTCGGACGCCGAAAGGTCGCACCGTTCTGTGCGATCCTTGTCGTTTGGGCCCTAGTGACCTTATATTTTTTCGGCAGATCCGGTCCATTACCTACCTCACATTCCTTGCTGAGAGAGGATGAGCCGGTTATTAGGGATTTACCTAGGGAAGCACCTGCGAAGTTACAAGATCTCAACAATGATTTTAACGATGAGGAGAAGAAGGTAGGTTGGGGAATTTTGTGCGAGTATGGCGCGATTTTATTTACTTTTTGTGTAATTTTTCGTAATTTTTTTGGTTGACGCTGACTTTGACGACCATAAAGCTGTAGACGAAGAGCCGAAGGATGTAGTGAAAGTAGTTGAAGACACAAAACCCGATGAAATGGAAAACGAAGACCAACAAAAGGACCGAGTCATGCCGGCCGTCGTTGTTCCCATAGAAGAACGCGAACCCGAGGTCGATCTGGCAAAACTCGCCGTTATAAATTCACCCGAAGAAGAGGCAAGTCTATTTTTCTTCCCCATTCTTGTTCCCATTAATTCTAGCCAATTTTTCTTAATTTTTTACAAGATTCATTACGACAAGATGTTTTTCATCGATGCCAAGCATGATGATCAATCAATAGGGTGAATAGGCACACAGCCGCTGCGACGATGGTGTACCAACAGAGAAAGACCATCACCTCCACCTCGCTCTCTTTCTCTCACTAAAACTTGTTGTCTTCGTTGATCGAAATGACCCCCCCCCCCTCCCCCCCCTTCCCCGTTTTCAAAAAAGAATGGGATTTTCAATAACTTGAGGAATTTTCCTTTCATTTTTCGTCCGGCCAGAATCATCCCAAGTTGTATAGCAGCTCTCTTTCTCCTCGTCTCAGGAAAACGCAATTTTTAGGATTCAAGGCCCAAAAAAATGCATGCGTATATTTTTCGATGATTTAGAGACCTCATCGCCCCCTTGAGCCAAAATTTCCTCAAGATCAGATCATACATCAGCCCTTCATCACCTATAATTGAGGCAAATTGTCTCGGGCCAATATAGGTCGATCTATCTTTTTTCATGAATAATTAGGCAATTATTACGTGCGAACGATTCCTTCAGGATGATTCATCTCTTTCGGCAACCGCATATTTTTTTGGCAAAATATAATTGAGCCAGTCATAATTCGCGGAAATAATTATAATTTCTTGTCGGCGAATTGACAGTTATCTCTTACTTTAGTTTCTGTTATGCTTTTCCAACTTCGTATGCTCAGAAAGTTCTTAGACGAGGTTCTTTTTCTGATGTTTGGAGTTACATATGATTAACTAATTTTCTAATTTGTCTAGAAATGATCTAATTCGAAAAATTTTTGTAGGTTTGTTTGAACTTTTTCGTAAATGCTATTCGATTAGTCCTGTTATGCCGTATTGTTTGAATCATTTTCCCTTCTGTTCAAATTTTATCCTACATTCCACCTGGACAAATATTTGACATTTTGGCAGCAAGTACTGGAATCGATTTATGTGTAAAGCCCTTTTCTTTCGCAAAACTCAAGTTTTTACACCCATAAAATTTGAAGTTTCAATTAATTATCTGCGTTTCTTAACTTTAGACAACGATTCCTATGTCTCTATTTGTTTGCAAATCTAAGTGCAAAAAAAATTTTTTTTAATCTTTTACCTTTATATTCTTGTTCGTCTTTCACCTCTAACGTACAAAAGTTACCTTTCCATTACCTTGATAGCTTCATTGTCTCTTAGCCTTCCCTACTTTCGGCATTTCTGAGGCTCTTTCTGATTTGTTTGCTCTCCTTTGAACTTTTTTGGTTTGCACCAACAAATGACTAAGCCTGTCTACTTCTCAAGAGATTATATTTGGATTTTTACAAAAATAAACTGTTTGACTCAGTCAAGAACTGCTAAATGCATTTTTTGCAATTTTATCTGTCTTTCTGCTACCATGGCTTACGATTAGTACGTGATCTGCCACACATAGATTTATTCCTCTTATCTTTCGGCTTTATTTCTGGAAATTTCACAATTTCTTCATAACTTATTTTGTGACAAAAAACTGCTCAGTTCACCTGACCATTCGTACTTGTACTTCTAATGGAAGAAGGCTTCTCGTTCTTTTCTTAGCTACTGCAAGTTTTTTAAGGTTTCATTCCTTGAATCGCTACGCTCTTACTCATTCTTATAAGAATACAGTGATAGTGTTTGAGCAAATCGTAAAACACAATTCCCTCTTGTAAAAAGTGGTGGCGTCTTGGAATTTTCCGCATTCCTCACTCTAAAGCGCTCTAACGCTTGTGCAAACTATTTTTCTTTTGCGTTCACTCGAGTTCTAGTTCTATGCTCACGAATGTTTACTCTAGGGTTGGATTTACTTCGACGACAGTTCTATTTTTTGTGCAAATTTTTATAAACTGTTTGGGAAGGGGCGGGGGGGGGGGGAGGGAGGGAATCGTGCTGCAGAGCTTTTGTTGAAAAAAAAACTTCAAGGAAAACTGGGAAATGAATTCGAAACATTGAAAGCATGATTGAGAACCCCTTTTTTCTTGGCCCCATAAATATAACGAATTTTATTGCTTTCTAGTTGAATAGCAGGACTGCCCCATTCTATTGAAAGCTAATTGCTTAACTTCAATCGATTTATTCCCGGTAATAATTCATTCTAGGAATTGATGATACTCGGCTTTGAAATCGTTATGAAAACTTGATAGGTTCGTTTGAAGTTTCATAACCGCAAACGCAGTTTTAAACCTTTGAAAACCTTTTATGGGTGAAAGAAGTAATATCTATTACTTGGAAGATGTGAAAGAAAACTATAATTTTTTTTTACAAAGCTTCGAACGCGCAGAGCTACAATCATGGGACTTTTGATGGTGTTAAACCAAATAATCTTTTGTTCTATGACAAGAATGTCAATAGCAAAAAATTGCCATGAAACTAGGTTTTTTGCTCATACTTTGCTCGACCAAAAAAGTCAAGTGTTGCCGAACACACAAGAAATTCTTTCAAGACTGGTATGTTCTCGAAGTGTACAAAAGAGTCTGTTGTATAGTAAAGCGAACACTGTTTGCTCGTTTGCCATGGTGCTGCACAAAGAAAGTTTTCGCGGGAGGAAGGCAGAGGGGGGGGGCGGTAAAACAGGAATTATAAAATAGCCTTCGAATTATGAATAGGAGGAGTTGATGCTCATGCGGTTATTGCATAAGATACCAAGGTTCGTGAATTTCACTTCGGCACTTCAGAGTAACAGTCAATGGTTGGAAAAAATTCTGATTTTGGTATCAAAAAAAATTTTTCCTGCTGTTTTCTATCATTGCTTCTTTGTGGGAAAGTAGTCCAAAGCTTCCTCTATCACAAATCAAAAACTTAGGATTTTCTATCATTAGTAAAGATAGTTATGCTTAAAGGCAGCGGCTCGGCAGGATTTCGTTTTCCAGTTCTTCACGTTCTCGGAGCCTTCTCGCCATGAGAAACTCATATTTGTTTCAGCGCATGAAAATGGCAAAAATGCGCTTTTTTCAAAGCCTTCCAGGTCAGCCTTCAGTGCAGAAGTGGGCGGGGCTTGGAACGAAAAAGGCGGGCCGCGGCTTTTTCCGGCGTATTCACTGAATGCGGCCCTAAAAAGCTGCGGAAAAAGCGCATTTTTGCCATTTTTTTACGCAGAAAAGCCAGATATGGGTTCCTCATGGCGAGAAGGACCCGAAAAGGTGAAGAACTGGAAAACGAAATTCTGCCGAGCCGCTGCCTCTAACATGGCTAAATTTTTAAAGGCTTAATTCTTTGATTCCCTAAGATTCATTTTTATGCTGTATTGAATGTAAATAACAGCAGCTTGGTACGAATACATGTAGATCTCCCTATTCACTGAATAAAAATGAAGATTGTGATCGCCATTTTCAAGCTGTTTTATCAAATAAAAACCAAATTTTCTCATATTTGAACACTGCGAGAAACGAGGTTTCTCACATCTTTGCGGATTCTTTTCTTTGAAAGATAAGTTCTACACAAATAGAATTTTAAGACAATTCCCACTGAAGTGCTCTTTCTATAGATACCAATCACTGGACAAAAATTTGTCTGCGGCATTTGTGGGAGCCCCAGAATACTTTATTAGCCAAGTTACTATTCTTTTCATCTGCTATAGTTGAAGTTCGCGTCCATTGGTTTATAAAATTTCTTTCGGATCTCTTTTCTTTCTCAAGCATTCAAAAGAATCTAATCGTACTTTTGTCATCTTTCAACTGCATTAACTTTTTCTGAAAAGAACGCGGCATTATTTTCTTTCTCCCTAAAAAGCTATTCACTTAGTTCCTATGATCTGGTCGTTTTCTAATTTTTCTCAAACTTCAAAGTCCTCTTCTGACTGTTAATGAAACTTGAGAGAGAGAGAGATCGCGGTCTGGTTCGATTCCTTGTAGTGAAAAAATCGAGACTGAAGACCACACATGCTTTTTTATTACTATTTCTCTTTGTCCATTTTCGCTCCAGAATATTACGGAGTTTTTCAGCTGCAAAAAAATCAACTGTTCGAGAAATATCAATTCAATGGCCTGCTCAGCGATCGAATTGGCTATCGACGGAAGATTCCGGATTCGCGACATGCACTGTAAGTCGAAAGTTTTTCTTATGCCACTCTCTTCCTGTTCCATTTGTTCCATGAACGTTTCTTATCCTCCTATATGATGTGGTAAGCACTTGAGCGCAATGTTCTTTCTCTATTCTCACTTCGCAACATATCCTGTTGGTTGAGAAGATTCTTTTCTTTTGAGTGGAACCTGCGTATCCATTCCATCCGGACCCCCTTGGGCAATCTTCGTGCTCGCTTTCATTGACTTAGGGTTTGCTTGCGTAGTGCACGAAACGCTGAACCAAGCTAAAAATTGGGAAAGCATTCATGTTTTGGTGTTAGCAGCTTGTTCTTCGAAATTTCTTACAAAATTTCTCAATTTTTTGCAATACCGACATTTTGAAACCACTGTTGTGGATTCTAATATCGACACATACGCGTAAATCTAGGAAGATGACAGTTGTCTGACGATTTGGCGGGAGCGATCAAATGTTGTGCCAGAATGGGCTATAATCAGAGCTTGGCACAGGTGGCTTATAAGCAAGCTGGATATCGCTTTTGGGACAAAAAGCAAAGGAGGTTTCGTTTTTGTGGCCGAAAAGACACAAAATTTGCGACGTTTTTTTAGTCGACGTTTTTGTCTTCTGGAATTTTTTTTTTGGAGATTATGATCTAGGGTCAAAGGGAACTTCGTAAAAATTCTCAAAAGTCAAGTAGGACTTCGTTTTTGCATTTTTAACTAGTCACCTCGTGCCGAGCCCTGACTATAATATTTTGATTTCTTGCATAGGCATAGCAGATTCAAATACAGGTGATCATCATTCTTGATGTGCAACGAACAATATTGTAGGGAACCAATATCTATATTAATAGCGATCGGGGACGTGGTAAAAGCCATCGTAAAACATTTCTGCGTTTATTTTTGGTTTCTTGATAATGAAAAGTCTCATCAAATGATTGCGCCATGAATCGCATTGGTGTGCTTTGCTTTCTAAAAAGCATAGCAATTTCTTGAATATGATTATATGCATCTCCATCTCATTTTTCAAAGAAACCGAAGATTTCTAAAAGAGTTGAAATTCATGCATAATTATTCTGATGATTGTATTATTCAAGATCGGAATCGCAGTCACGTCTGCCAGTTTTAGCTGAAAATATAGTAGAACCTTCATATCGAATTTTATCACTTCTTTTGTAAAAAATGTTTAAAAAAGACAGTAAACTCAAACATGTATGTTTGTTTGCTATCAAAAACTCTTGCTTTAGTAAAAGCCCCGTCAACGGAGTCGGCGAAAAAAAAAACATCTTGAGGCAAACAAGCTACGAAAGACTTCTATCCTTTGATTCAACAGGTTTGGCGGTTGGAAGGCGGGGCTTCCAAGGCAGGGAATGTTCAGAGAGCACGGGCGCGAGAGAGCCGCAGACTGTGTCGCCATTGCGAGTGGTCGCCTCCCAGCCGCCAATTGGTTGAATCAAAAAGTAAATTGTGGAAAATACAAGTTTTGTTGTTTATGCTGTCTTTTTTGACATCAACTACTTACTTCCATAGACAGAATAATAGGGCAAATATCTCTATTCCTGTTCTGCAATTTTTTTTTGACAAATGGACAATTCCCTTAAGTACTGAGTCATATCGAAAAAAGGACAAAGTGTGTTTTCTGGAATAAACTATTGAACAATTCTAGTTTGTTTTTAGAAATTCAACATCATACCTTATCAGGTTTTACGCAGAAAATTTGTTTGACCATTTTGTAGCCTCATTTCTCAAAATGCCAAAATTTGTGGCTTGTAACACAAAGTGTTCATGGCGCCAGCTATAAACGGAACAAACGGAGCCATGTTATGGTGTAATCATAAAATGTGTAATAGTTGCCGAACGCCATCAAGTTACGGGGCATTCAAAAACTGTATTTGCAAACATTTCGATACAAAATCGTTTTAGCAGCTCAAGGAGAGTGGGGGGCTAGAAGAATACATTAAATGGAGAGTTTTTGCATGTATCGGCGGATTTTATGTTAGCTTTACAAAAAATCCATTTTCTTCGCTCCTTCCGTAAAAATCAATTGTGCGGAAAATTCAAAGACTTACTAGATTGAAAATCGCAAGGTGTCCATCTCCATTGCAACTGTGCTACTGTTTGGTGTTCTAATGAGAATGTTTTATAACTGTGGTTTCAGAAGTTTACTGCTTGTCTATAAGATAATTATGCTTGAATTTTCGTCTTGTAAACATCCCCGATCAGGAAGATGTAAAGCCTTGGCTGAAATACTTTTTAATAGAGCTCAAGCGCAATAAAATGTTATAATGAAACAAAGGAGAAGTTAGAATATAATTGCCAAAAAGTTACAAAATCCCATGACTATAATTGTATCTATTTTTGACACTGTCCTGTTTCGAGGATAAGAACGATACCTAGTGCCTTTTATCTCATTTCATTTTCTTTTTTATATTATATTTTCATTCTTAAAGCATTAGCCTGTTCAGTAGAACAATTTCTAGAACTTTGCTTGACTTCTCTATCAAAATTACAATCACAATACAACAAATTTCTCTTTTTTTTGCGCTTACTAGTTGCAAAATAAGCACATATGAACAGTAAATTAGTTAATGCGCGTGAAATTTGAAAAGGACAATAGTCAGCTGTTGAATCAGCTGCAGCAAAGAAACCTCACGGCAATGTAACTGAAGGTAAGGGGTTCAAAATTGCTGCGATGGATATAGCTCTAATTTATTCTGTTTTTTTCCTGTTTCATTAACAATCGTGCTTTGAAAAAAAAGCAAAGCAATCTTCAGAAAACTTATGAAACCGGTTGTGTGACTGCAGATTGTTATTGCTCCACTCCGTAACATTGTTTGTTATGGCGGATTGTGGATTATATTGCGATGAAGTTGTTGCAGTGTGGGAAAATGCCAATTTTGTCAGTTTAGATTTTAGTTGAAGCTAGCAGTAGACCGCTGTTATTTCTCTTCAACTCGGTTTCGATGGTCATTATTTTTCGGTCGTTTAATGAGCTAACAAATTCAAGAATATCACTACATCACGACCTTTTAAACTCAATCAGATAGCGCTGATCATGTCGATAAGCTAGTCTCAAAGGGTTTCATGAAGCAATTCCAAACAGGGCACGGCACAGGTGGCTTAGCAAGCAAGCTGGATATCGTTTTTGGGGAAAAAGCAAAGGGGATATCGTTTTTGCGGAAGAGCATAACGTTGTCTTTCGACCTGCGGCCGGCACGCTGCCGGCATGCCGCTAGCAAATAAACAAAAGGTTTGTTTACAGCGAAGTGAGGATGAAATGACACCAAAATAGGTGTGTAGATGGACAATGGGGAGTTAGAACTAAGTATGAAAAATTATGAAAAAAATTATGTGAACTAAAGGCGTGCTCAACTTTTTTCGGAGTTAGGTGGCTTTCAAGCCACCTGCATAGCTACCTGAGGTGGCTTAGGAAAGAAAAAGTCATAAATTTTTCCTCCCTCACATAATTTTTCTACTTTCTTTACATACTTTTCATCTACATCCCAAACCCTACAAACTGGTTCCTAAACCGCCTCAAACCCCCTTCTCCCCGCTTAGTTATAGCCCCTTGAAAATTTTGAATGGCCGCGGAAAGGCTGCTCTAGGCGCGTATTGCTGCACGATGGATACATCATGCCGCCATTCCGGAGAATATAAATATGATTGCGTGTGTTCGATGATTCTTTTTCGTTTTTTTCTGCTGTTGCTTTGTTCCGTTCCTTTACATGTATTTTCTCTTCGAATATCTCGTGGCGGATATCGTAATTTTATTGAAGTCAAAGGCGACTTCATTTTTTGCAATTTCGGGACGCCACCTCGTGCCGAGCCCTGGTCTAGGGTCAAAGGGGACTGCGTAAAAATTCGCAAAAGTCAAGGGGGACTTCGTTTTTTGCATTTTCAACTAGCCACCTCGTGCCGAGCCCTGGTCTAGGGTCAAAGGGGACTGCGTAAAAATTCGCAAAAGTCAAGGGGGACTTCGTTTTTTGCATTTTCAACTAGCCACCTCGTGCCGAGCCCTGATTCCAAAACACTTTCAAATCGAAATGCGCGTTAAGATGTTAGATAACGCTTGTCCGATTGTGGCGGCAGTTATTTTTTTTATCTTTACCACCAGCAGTTAATGTTGCGATTAACGACTTGACAAAAATCCTACAATTTTCTTCAAGGCGAATATCCTCCTTACAAGAACGGAGTCGAGACCAGGGCTCGGCACGAGGTGGCTTTCCGAAAATGCACAAATCGAGGTCCCCCGATTTTCCCAAAATTTCACGAAGTTTCCTTTGACACTAGACCATAAACGTAAAAAACCCTCAAAAAACGAACGTCGACTAAAAAAGAACGTAATTTTTTAGCCACAAAAACGATATCCCCTTTACTTTTTGTTCCAAAAACGATATCCAGCTTGCTTATAAGCCATCTGTGCTGAAACCTGGTCAGGACTTCCATTTTTTACTTTCGTAGCATGTTGAAATTATTTTGTGAGCTTTTTCACATTCACACTATCTTCAAGCACGGCTTAGTAAGTAATCTGGAACTGTTAGAATGAGAATAATTGACGTTTGGGGTAAAACGCACGTGATTCTTACGCATATCCTCTACGCCCGTGTCATACAAGCAACTGTTTTTTCGGCAACATCTGTGTCCAATGGATTTCAGCTGACAAGCGTTAACGCAGAGTATTGAACGCCAAAACTTACTTCCACTTACAGTATTTTTCGTTATCAGTTGGTTCACGCCCTTCATTTCAGAACGAAAGAGCGGTGCCTTCAAATTCAAGTTTTTGCCGGGTTTTTTCTCTAAAAGTGCCTGAGTCTGATTTTGGAATCATGGTCAACTGATCAAGACACACGAAAGTCTTTGGCCCCAAGAATTATCATTGAGCGTATGCGGATTGGGGAATTAATTTGTTTGTGGCACAAAAGTATGACATGACAGTTGAGACGTTTGTTCACCAAGCGCATACTTTATTTATTGTTGGCTATGGCAATAGTTGAACGAATCCTTTTCGAAAGTTAAAGAG